GCATTTGATCGCATTAACCATATGATTAATACGAATAATCAATCAGTAATAATGTAAAGACTGGCCTTGTTAAGCTTATTAAGCACGGAATACGTATGTCGCATCTTTGCATTCGTCACACCTATGACATATGAGCCGCGTCATAACAAAACCAACATAATGGGTTTGCGACCAGCATGGATCCAGACCAGCCTGTGCATCCGCGCAGTCTTATCAGGATCCATGCTATCCGCTTACAAACTCTATAACAAGTAGAGAAACTGATAGCGAGCAGCATGGATCCTGATCAGACTGCGCGGATGCGCAGGCTGGTCTGGATCCATGCTGGTCGCAAACCCTTTATGTTGGTTTTGTCGTGACGCGGCTCAATAATGTTCTGTTATCACATGTGTTGCACACAACACAAATACCATTCTAACACCGATATGACAAATGTGATCCGAGCCAAATGCACTTTTCCATATTTTTTCTTTAAAGATTCTTGTTCATGCGGAATGGTTCGCCGATATTTTGTATCTGTAAAGAAACAAAACTCCTTTGCATTCCTCCTTGTAAACCCTTAAACACAAATCCTTTGCAAGGATTCTAAAATATTGCAAACTGCAAAGTTTGAGAAGACTTATCGACATACAGTAATTTTAAACACTTACAGTAACCATATCGGCTCTATTATTTTTATTATACTTTCGGTTTACTTCTATTGTCGCTCCAAGTCTGCTTTCAAATGTACAGTCAGTTTTGGTTTTCTTTAATCTTGCTAAAATTGATAAAAACAACAACAACAACATATAGTAAGTTTGGAATAAAGCCACCTTAAAACTTCTTTTAATAAAATTAAATTTTCTAGAATAGAACATTTAATTAAGTCAAATTTATATTCGTCGAGACAAAAATGTAATTATTGCTTTTGATATTAAGTGGTCCTCACTTCAGGTGATAAGCATGCACCATGCTTGAAAACCATTATTAAAACGTTATAAAAGTCCTGTTTGCCTTTTCCAAAGAAGGAAATTAAACTATATTTGTGACACATAATGTGCCTTTAAATTCAAGCCTATTTCAACAAGATTCTCTGTTGTAAAAAAAAAACAAACAAACATGTATTTGAATGACATTTGTCCTAATCTATAAGATTGAATGAGTAAAAATATTAAAAATAATTATGTTTTGTACAGTGCGACTTTTTATTGTTATAATTGTTTTTTTGATCATCATTATTTTCATCATCATCATCACCGCCACCACCATCACCATCTTCACCAACATCATTATCATCATCATCATCATCACCATCATCATCAACATCATCATCATCATTACCATCATCATCATCATCGTCATTTTCATTATTATTATTACTATTATTATTATTATTATCATCATTATTATTATTATTATTATTATCCTGTGCAGTATAAATTGAAAATGGATTTAGAAATAGTCAATATCGCTTCCTTTTACTTTTTTTTTTCACACACATTCTTTGTAGAATAGGGGCGCTAGATTAAAGTATGTAATTGAGTGGGGAAAACCGGAAACGCACTTGTTTTATCCTCCGTATGACATTGTAGAGATAAACGGCACGTAATAAAACTTGATTTTAAATGTTCAAGTATATATCATAATTCAGACTAATGTGGTTAATTGATTTTAAAAAAAAGAAAGAAAAAGAACAAGATCACTTGGTTTATATACTTTATGCATTATTAAATAATGCGTTTTCATCTTAAATCGTAATAGTCCTTTGAGGAAATATACATTAAATCTCCGATACAGACCACTTTTAAATGAAAACTACTCAAAGTGGTAATTGTGTTGGTAGTTTTCACTCCTAATCGCATTGAATTTACCAAAGCACAGTTCAGGCACAGCATTGTTCCTGGTAATGCTGTCAAGAAAGTTACTAACTACTTGTTGCCTCAACTTTAGCAAGATTTGAAACTTCTGTACATGACAGAGCAGATGTATTGTGGGAATGACCTTAGAAACGATTTTAAGATCAATAACAAGTGACCTGCATCGTCCGGGGATCGAGTCTGGGTCGCCCGAGTCGCTGTCAAACACTGTATCTGAGCTGACCGGATGGCTTTACTCAGTGGTGATCTTAATGTTCTCTTTTTATGACCGTTGTTTTTTAATGATTCATTTTATGAGAATTTAGTGTGATTCAGGCCATTTCTTGTCTATACAGTGGTCTTTAGAGACGCTATTGATTAATCAAAATCTATTTTTAGATCAAAATCTATTTTTAGATCAAAATTTATTTTTAGATCAAAATCTATTTTTTTTAGATCAAAATCTATTTTTAGATCAAAATATATGTACCAGTTGTTGTTTTTCATTAGGTTGGTTTTCTTTTCATAAACAGTGACATTATTTTTTATATTAAGTTCATAATAACACTGTACATATCCAGATATACTTGACAATAATACAAGGTTCTTGATGATGAATATTATTTAGTAATTCTACTTTTCTTTCCGCATATTTATAATGTACTCGATTATTATGAATGCCAATTTTAGTGCCGTTCAGGACTCAATTTGACATTGCCCTATGCAACTTTAGTTATATATATCTGCCATATTTTTGTTGAAAGCCCCAGGATCTTCGTGAATATCACCATCGTTCAACATTTACATAGTGTCTAGTTGAGTAAAGAAAATATGTCTGTTTTTTATTCTATGTCGGTAAAACATAATTATCATATATGTATGGTGGTGAAAAAGTGTTGTAACATGACTTTTAAGCAAAAACTTTATCTGAAGATGCCAAAGCGAGATTAATAATCGCTTGCTTAGCCGAGAAAATGACTGGCTGCATTTTAAATTTATTGGATAATGTTTATAATACTATAAGTCCTTGAAGTATCCATCTATTGAAGACGTCCTTTCTAGTTACATGTTTTCAGGATCTCGAGTATAGATAGATGATAGGAAGTGTCAATACTTATTATACATTAATTACATAGAACTATCTAATACTAACAAAAATACTTGTGTATACATAATGTATACATTTTCAAATAACAATATTTTCTTTGTGTCAGATAACCAAAAAACAGTATGATTGTAACATTCTGAGATAACAAACCGTTTTTGTTATAGCTATTTCTTAAATTTAAAACTCGCATTTGTTAGTGTGAGTCCATTATGATTGTTTCATTGATATGATGCAACTTTGTCGGCTATTATATTTCTTTTTTCAATTTTATATATTTAGCAAAAATATATTAACGGCTTTCCACTTTTAAAAAGGCATTAATTAGTTATTTTATATGTAGACGTTAATACCTAACGTGGAGGGCCAGTTGTATTTTCTTTTACACAACTACCTCACAATTAGTGGACATTAATGTCATTTTGTCAGATATGTCAAAATATCTATCATCTTTGGCGATGGCAAGACATTAGCAAATAAATATTACTTATATTTGTCTAACTTGGATGGTACTTTCATGAGTGAATGAATGAAGGAATGAATGAATGAATGAATAAATGAACAAACGAATGGACGAACGAACGAATGATGCAATATACGTATATGTTTAAACAAATTATTGAGTGCCTTTCGAAAGTATATGAGTTGTCTTTTGCTAAAAACTACATATTATACATTCATTTTTCTACCTATGCATGTCCTGTTGTTGTTGTTTTCTATTTCAGAAGGCCACATTGGAAATAAGATATATATGATTGCTATTGTGTGTTCTTAATGTGTAACCTTCTTTAAATAAAGATATTATTATTACTATTATTATTATTATTATAATGCTTGACAAGTAGCTATATCATAACGAAATAATGTTACTGATGGAATGGCATCGGTGTCATTCTTAATGAGAAAAAGATTCGAACTTGAACATCTTATCTAATCGTAATCATACATGTATACCTGAGAACATGAAAAGCCTACCACTTACCACACATGTTAAAAGGATCCTCGAGGTCAAGGGAAGTGCAGGTGATATTCTCACTTGTCGGTGTCATACATCGAGTTGCCTGACCATGGCCGATGATTTTTTTGTAGGTTAAATTTGGCGCCCCTACCAAAAGTCTGGAGAAAAAGAGAACAGAACAGTACATTTTTTTGTAACTCAAATACATACATGTACATAGACAAAAAGATGATTTTGTTTGTTTGTTTGTTTGTTTGTTTCATTTTACGCCTTTTTCAACAGTATTTCAGTCATATAGGCGGGTAGTTTCCTAACCATCGTTCCTGGAGAGTTACACCAGTACTAGACAACCTTCCTCCGCGCTAAACTACCAAAGCATCTCCCGGGGATCGAACCCACGCCAGAGAGGTACCTGGATTAGAAGTCATCGACTCTAACCCCTCGACCACGGAGGCGGTATACAAAAAGATGAGGTTTTCGAAATAAATGCAAAATTTCAAATACATGACATATGGTGTATTCAAACAGTATAACTATGTCATTTTTTTAGTACTTTTAAGCATTGAAAGAGAATTTTAGTCATTCAAGATAATTATTCAGAAACTGAAATAATTATATTGAAAAGAAGATTGGTATATACATGTCTGTAGCTAAATCATGTGTGGCCGTTGTCAAACGGCAATACTTTGGCCGCAAGGAAGGAAAAGTATTTTTTATGCCCCGGGCATATAGTAATTGAACCGTCCGTCTGTCTGTCCGTCCGTCCGTCTGTCCGTACGAGAACGGCAAGTTGGATTTTCTTAGGCTCTATCTGTACCAAAGGCTTCTTAGTTTACACACTTACTAATCAATACAAAGTACATGATCTGGTCAAGTTACATAACTATGGCTTCCATATTTACCAAGTTATTGCCCTTTTCAGCACTTAGAAAATGAATAATGGTTAACCTAAAACGGCAAGTTGGAAATTTATCTGTACTAATGGCTTCATAATTTCCACACTTACTTATCAATACAAAGTACATGATATTGCCAAGTTATATAACTGTGTCATCCATATTTCCCAGATATTTCCCTTTTTTCACTTTGAAAATAGGGCCTTGTCTGGTTAACCTATTCCGACAAGTTAGGTTTATCGTAAATTTCTCTTAATTGCTTAATTTATTTAATGATATCTTGCATATTTGGTAGGTGGATACATTTAATGGTCCTCTATTTTTTGTGGAGTAAGTGGTCTCTAGGGTCAAAGTCAAGGTCACTGGTTTAGAAAATAAATTCTAACATTTTTGCTCATACAGCCTTTATTTTTTGATCGACCGCCTCCGTGGTCGAGGAGTTAGAGCCGATGACTTCTAATCCAGTTACCTCTCTGGCGTGGGTTCGATCCCCGGGAGATGCTTTGGTAGTTTAGCGCAGAGGAAGGTAGTCTAGTACTGGTGTAACTCTCCAGGAACGATGGTTAGGAAACTACCTGTTAATATGACTGACTGAAATACTGTTGGAAAAAGGCGTAAAATTAAACAAACAAACAAACAAACAAAACTTTATTTTTTGGTTGATGTCTTCCATATTTAATGCAAACATGCCAAAGGAGGTCCTTCTTCTTTGGGTATAGTAAGGGGTCATTTGGGTCAAGGTCAATGTCACCAATGTCGAGGTCACCAATGTTAAAAATAGATTTTTACAAATGTATTAATCATATTCTATAGACAGATGTCATTTATAATTATTTTATGGAGTTAGTGGTCAGTTGGGTCAAGGTCAAGAGTGCTAAAAATAGATTTTTACACTTTTGCTCATACAGCCTTTATTTATTGACAGATTTATTTCATATTTGGTAGGAAGATAACTTTCATGGTATTCATCCTTTTGATTGGGGTAGGAATCAGTGGGTCAAGGTCACTTGTGCTAAAAATAGATTTTTACACTTTTGCCCATACAGGCTTTATTTATTGACAGGTGTATTTCATATTTGATAGGTAGATAACTTGCTTGGTATTCTTTCTTTTGATTGAGTGAGGGATCTGTGTGTCAAGGTCACTAGTGCTACAAATATATTTTTACACTTTTGCCCATACAGTCTTTATTTATTGACAGATTTATTTCATATTTGGTTGGAAGATAACTTGCATGGTATTCTTCCTTTGCATGGAGTTAGGGGTCAGTTTGGTCAAGGTCATCAATGCTCAAAATATATTTTAACATTTTTGCCTATACAGCCTTTATTTATCGACAGGTGTTTTTCATATTTGGTATGAAGATAACTTGCATGATATTCTATAGGTGTCAATGGGTCAAGGTCAAGGGTGCCAAGTATAGATTTCTTACATTTATATATATTTGATAAAGTTGAATATTTATCACTTCACAAGTCATAGCAATGACTTGGCAACTTATACATTTCACAATTACAAATGGCCACGTCAAGCTATATAACTTGTGTTTACAATCTTTTGGCAATGTTTCTGTCCATATAACTGAGTGAATGGGTAAACATTTTTTGAAATATTACTACTGACAAGAATCGGAGCCGGGGGCATTTGTGTTTAACAAACACATTCTTGTTTTTATAAAAATAACACTTGAAAAAATATGAAACGTCTTATACATGCACTTATACATGTATGCTTTTTATTTTGCTTGGACTAAATGCTTGAGATTTGTCTTTTGTCTGCATTGTAATGTAATATTTGAATACCGTTCTATACAAGGCACACATTAAGATATAATTTAGATATTACCACGTTTTCATCGTATGTTTTTACTGTGGGATTCTACAAAAACAAGAATGTATTGGGATTTTAAAGCACATACATTTTCCAAGATTATGGGCTTTAAAACACACTTCCTTGACGATGATATGAATCTTCAATTGAACTCTTTAAGGAAAAAAACCGACACTTTCTGCGCGATGTTGCGCTCTAATTCCTCATGATTTCCAGCTTGTTATGGTTTTTCTGTGAAACTAGTTTCATAACTTAACTAAAAAAAGCTTGATGTCGTGGTCATTTCATGTTTTAAACAATCAACAAACAATTATGTCATAACTTTAATTACAACAATGAAACCACAGGGAAGTTTTTTGGATAAAAATCAGGAAAATGCCTTCCTACATAATATCACAGAGAGTCACGTGACTGTATTCGTTTCATTAGTGAAACAAGGGTAAAAATGCGGTTGCAGAAACACTTTTTCGCGGAAAAAATAAAGGATTGTGTATTATGTGGCAATATTGACTTGAGACTCATTAATTTTAAGGAGTTTTTCTTTTGTTAGTTTCCTTGTTTTTTATGATTTTTGGTCGGGTTGCACAGTTGCAAACCCGAAATATAGTATAGTGAATGTCGTGCGGCGGGCCAGCGGGCGGCGGGCGGGGATATTTTCTCTTAACAGTTTTCTTAGCAACTATGTATCACAGCCTCTTGATATTTGGCCTTGATACTAGGTCCCATATTGTGGAATTTGATTTCAGGTCTGACGCACATCAATTTATTATTTACAGACTTAGTTAATTTTTGCCATTAATGGTCAATGGTAGGAAGTTTTTGTAACAGTTTTCTCAGCAACTACTTATCATAGACTCTTAATATTTGGTATACAGCATATATACGTGGTCCCATATGTTCGGATTCGATTTCGGGTCTATTGCTCATCTACTTCCTGTTTACCGACTGAGTTAAATTTTCGACATAAATGCTCAGTGGTAAATGTTTTCGTAACATCACAGCCTCATTATATTTGGTATACAAATGCAACCCAGACTTTTCTGTATTTGACCAATTTTTAAGAGTTTAAAGACACTATTGATCTCGATATTTATACCAATAAATTCTGTCTAATGACCAAGTTGAAAGTGAGGGGGATTTGTGACCATAAAGTCGATGGTTCGAATCTTCAACAAATCTTTTTCTTGTAGTTTTCATCAGCTTAATTGTTTTTATTTCTGTTAATAATAAGAAAAATGAGTTGGTAAAGTATGTGTTTCAATTCTTGACTTCCTCGTAACTTACGCGTTTCATATACTGTAACTATTACTTATTGTTACACATGCAATATGTTACGAAATAAAATATACTATTTATAAACGGTAAAATTGCATTGTTCCTGTAGTCTTATGATAGAGAGGAGAAAAATAACATAATCAACTTGAATATTTTACGTAATTTTTTTCCCGGAACCAAATAGTACGCTGCTATTTTAAGTAGGGTTGTAATGTCGAGTGATGATTTGTTGCAGACATCACCCGATATTCGTGAAGGTTACAAATTATAATTCTAATTCTATCATAATTTTTGTTGTTTATTTTTTGTTATTTTTCTTGTCGTTGTTTTTTTTTTGGGGGGGGGGGGGGCGTTAATAACTGCTTTTCAAAATATGACTTTATAAATTTTCTGAAAAAAAAAACAAAAACAAAACAAAACAAAACAAACAACAACAACGAATGTTAATGCTTAATTAAGACGTTCTGTACTGGTTATGGTATATCACTGCATGCGTAGGGCTATTTGTAATACTTGTATCATGTTTTAATATTTCTTCGGTATAATTATGCCAATTATCTTGAACAAAACAGGCGCTCACTAGTAACGCAAGAATGTGCAATTATCGGAAAAGTAACGCCGGATCTGTGCAACGCTATTGCCAAAACGCATAACACTGTAAGTAAACGAACCAAAATATTTTATTCTAAATCAAATTTAAAGAAATAAATTAGCGCATACGGCTGCTACTACATTATACTTTAACCAGCATTACATTTTTTTCAGGAATTTGTTTACTTTCTTAGATCATTCGTGAGAAAGACAACCTGATTACCGTTTTGAAGGTGTATTTTGTGTTTCGTCAAATAAATATGTACATTTAACACATTTAAAACTTTATTTTTTCATATTCTGTATACCCAAGACATTTGTCAAACTACAAGTGTCGTATAACAATAGATGGAAGCTGGTAAGATATGATTTAGCTTAATTTAAATCAGATAACCCCCGTTGCTTTAGTGCTTCATTCACGAATTCGGCGTTACCTCGTAAAAGTGCTCTCAATTGCGTTTTATTTGCTACATTTAATGTAATATGGCACGAGTAGATTGGAAAATGTCTCAGGTACTACGAAAATAAAAAAATCATAAATTTATATGTACGTGATTGTATTTAAAGATACCAACGAAATTGAAAATCGCCTCAATACGCTAGTCAGGTCCTCATTTTTGCGACTGATCTTGAAAAATAAACATGGAAATATTTTTGATGAGATTGAAAGTATAATGTCTCAGCAACCGTATGCGCTAACTCATTTCTTCCAATTTAGTGTACAATAAAAAATATTGGTCCATTTACTTATCGCGGTGCTCGTTTTAGCCAATTAATTGCACAATTCTGCGTTACTTTTGCACCATTCCTGCGTTATTTGCACATTCCTGTGTTACTAGATATACACGGTCTTAAATAAGATGACAATACTTACTCTTTATCATGAAAGCTTTTATCTCCAGTGGTCCAACCCGGTTTACGAATAATTGCAACGGTGTATCCAAATTGGGAATCCTTTTCACCTTCAGCTTTTCCGACTTTTTTCGGATTAGTTTCAATGTTATAACTCAAAACAACCGCAACTTGTATAGCAAAGAGCACAATGCAACCGTACTTAAGCACATTAAGCACGTTGTCATAACATGTGTCACGAGCCATTTCAAACTCAAATATTTTCCTTTTTTTTTAATTCAAGAACTACTATTTATTTATTATTTCTTAGTTTATATAAATGTACAGTCCAGCAATATTAATTTTTTATATTGTTAACGAAACTTTACCATTTTTATAAGTAAAAATAATAATATCATAAGTAAGGATTATCCAAAATATTCAGTGTTTAATTGTAATAAAATCCATACATTTCGTGTTATATCCGTTTAACACCCATATATGCACCGTTTTTGTTATCAGAAATCTACTTATAAGTTGCTCAAAACATGTACAATGTATGTATGCTCGCACTACATAGATATACTAGTAAATGATTAACTTTACTTGATATTAGGTTTAAACCTATTTCCGTTCAACATCCTTTAAAGAGACCTTATTTCCGTTTTTTGCATATCTTAACCAAGCTTCACAATTCAGTTTATCTTTACTTCCGATCCGCTTGTATTTTCATATTGAGTCATTTTGACCAGTCAAATGCGTACATTGTAATAGTAGTCCTTCGCCGAAACAATGTTAAAGTGTAGTTCTACTTGAGCGTTACTTCTCATGTTTCACAAACACGATTAATAAACAAATAAATGAAAAAAAAAAACTGGAAAAAAACCTATTAAAACTGTTATTATACTGTGTATATTGATTGTATTTTTTCAGAGCAAATTTGCTTTACCCGTTTTTGGTTTTCCCCTAAAAAATGCGCGATATACATGTATATTGGTTAATGCATAATCACTTTAAGCACTCATTCTGGATACAGGAAGGAGGAAATGTATTATTCTCTGACCATCACATCATATATAAATCGTGATATATTATTATCATGTCGCATGTATAATTATGTTCCTGTACAAAATGAAGTAGTTATAAAATAAAAACTTTTTACCACCTAATGCATGTTGCAGTGTTTGTGAATTATATCACGAATTCCGTTTTCATATATTGTCTATTAACGTAGCAAACCACTTTACTGAGTATGCTTAAAGGGACTCCACTGAGGTTTAAAATCCTTAAAACATAACAATTGAATTTCTTACATAAATGAGCTGGGGCATTTTAAACAGAAATATATGCAAAGATAGTTAAGAAATATACTTGAAATGAATTGAAAATCGTATTTCTATGCTTTTCTTAGCTAATTCAAATTTTACAATTCAAATAATTCTGGAAAAACGCAGTGCACGAATAATCTTAAATGTGGCACAAAGATTAGTGGTCTAAACCTACATCAAATGGTACATTTATCTGGAAAAAATATTTCAGTCCCATCATGTCAAAATACCTCAGTGGTGTCCTTTTAACTCTCGGTTCTTTACTAATTAATATGCAAAATGGAATTAACCCTGAAGTACTAGCTCTTTTTGTTTATGGCTATATGTTAAAAATCGGTCTTAGCTTGTATTTGTGCGAGTATTTAAACGACTAAACAACGCCACAACTTAAACGGTAATTATTTAAATATGCTATATCGAAGTAAGTGGCACTATTTTAAATACATTTTTAATTATGTGCAGTCCATTTTTTACCAGCTAAAATTGTGATAAAGCTCGAATTAAAATGATAGCATGATTGGCACATATTCTACAAATTATCAGGGATTAATTCCCGTGTAATATATACATCCCTGAAATTATTTTAAAAATGCAGTAAATAGGAAAACATTCCAATTAATTAATATAAAATAAATACCAGATCCTTGAAAACGTACTTTAAATTGCATCTATTTCGTCAGCATTTTGAGGTTGTTTAGATATATACATGTATATGCCATTATTTTATAGCAGTTGATACAAGATACATCCCGACGATACTTCAGTAGTATTGCGAGATTTATGTCCGGTGAGCGAGTGATACACAGACACTGCTATAGTCATAATTATATCGACTTTCCATATTCACAAGAATATGGGAACACCTCGGGTGCCTCTAAAAGCATTATTTATGACAAGAGCTGGCACCTGAGCTAACACATCAACGTTCCATAAGTTAACTGGGATAAAAGAAATCAAAGCCTCTGTCGGGAAATTTCTGATAGTGACGAGGGGCATGTGAATTGAAGTCAATTGTTACGTCAGACAGACTAAATGCATGCTCGGAACAAAGGGGTAAGAAGTATGGGGCTGGGGTGGTCATGACCCTCTGGGAGTTTGGTTCTATGTATTAGAATATGCCTAAATGAAAGTTCGTTTTTAGTGAAAAATATACTTTTAACCCCCATCCTTAAATATGACAAACCCTATAGAATATGCAATAATTCTTGTCAAAATTGTATAACCTCCTTCTAATAAACAAAGTCCTTGTTTCCAGAACAGATATCGGGCTACTTCATAAAATCGAACTGCACTTATAATGTTTGCATGGCGTTTGGATTGTAGATATTGTTCATGATACATGCATTGCTAGCAACATTGGCCCTATAACGTAATTGTAATAATCTAGTTTATTTAATGAACTCCTTTTAAAAGGAACATTCATACTCAAGCAGCATGTTATCTTCAGATTTATCCCCTAGACTAATAATCTACCCATGTGACCAGCGCTGATTATGGTATGCACTGTTCGCTACCCCATAACTTATTTTGGAAGTTCCCTGGAATGATGTGTTTTTTTTTTCAGATTAAAAAGTTTAAACTGGCCTATTTAAGATAATTTCTGCAAAGTTTCATAATCGTTTGAACTTTTATCCACTCCCATTTGTTTCTCAATTGTTTCTTCAATTGTTTCAAGTAGCTATTTTTAAAAAAAACCGAAGCGGCTATGTATAAAATCATCTTATCTTAAACCTACGCGTTATTTTGTTTGTTTAAATTCAAATCTCATTTATATGAAATGAACATAGTAATTTATAAATTCATGGTCAAATTAAAAAACATAATTAGCATGATGAAGTTAACATACTCAGTAATGTGATAAACATAAAATGCACGTTACATAGAGAATTAAACATAGCGCATCAAGATGGTGATAAATTCAACAAACACGTTAACCTGACTCATAACTCAAACATACTTTCATGATGACTGTATTTACCATACTGGGTATAAATTTAGCTGACACATTAAACATTCTAAAGGAAATATACACATGAAATTAAAAGCTGCACGCATCCAGATGGGCTAAATATTTCAAGAAAATCAGTATTGAGAAAAAATGTACAAAAAAATGTACTGAAATTTTAAGAAAAGTAAAACATTCAAGATCCAAATTATATTTTTACATTTTATGTGCGGTTTAAGAATGATTTTGCAGTATTTTAGCACCATATTTCTACTGCGTTACTATTGCAGTAAGGACCTTTTTGCATATGTTGACAATTTTTTGGTAATTCTGCAATATGTAAATTACTAAATGTGTTCACCTCACAATATTTTACTTTTAAATACATTTCCAAAATGTTCATGAAATTAAAATTAACATGAATCTGGAGGCGTGCTGCTTTAACACGTGTAAGTATCATGGTGAAATTAACATAATATTAACATGATGAGTGTAATATGCATAGTATCAATTTAAATTTAACTTATACATTTTTCATTATACATACGTAACATACACATTTTCATGATGTATTTGTCATACTGGTTATAAATTAGGCAGACACATTAACATCCTGAAGAAAATATACACATCGACATATTGAATTTATCACGTGTAAGTATCATGGTGAATTTAACATAATATTAACATGATGAGTGTAATATACAAATTTAACATATACACTGTTCATAATGTATGTAGCATACACATTTTCATTATAAATTGAACGTACACATTTTAATGATAATTGTAACACACATGCACACACACACGCACACACACAAAATGATGAAATATATCATACATGTACACTATTGCCACGATAAGTTTGTAATACACATTTAAATATGATAAAATGAAAAGATTTAGTTACATTAACATAATGACGTATTAACGTACAGTACATATATCTTTTATTATAAACATTATCATGATAATGTTTAAAATGAATATTATAATTTAACGTAAGAGTTTAAATTGGCCTTCAGCTTTCATTTCCTGGTGGCAAACAATTCTGCATTGTTTCGTGGAAAAGTGCATCATATCACTGTAAGCCCGTCCGAGAGCTATTTATATCTTTGTTTCTAAAAATAGAAGATCGAGCTGTACTTATTTAAATATAGAGAGCAGACCGGAAGATTCCTACGGAAGCGTCCTGGCGCCAATTCATAATGTTCTATAAAAAAGCTCCTACGTAGGAGATAAAAAAGCCTTATTATGAGTTTGTAACTCCTACGTAGGAGTTTATAAGTCCTACGTAGGAGTTTATATGTCATACGTAGGAATTAAAAACTCCTTATCAGTCTTTTTTATCATCTACGTAGGAGTTGTAAAGTCCTACGTAGTACGTTGGAGTTATTTATAAACTTCTAATTAGGCTTTTTTTATTTCCTACGTAGGAGTTTATTTTTATTAGGACATTATGAATTAGCACCAGGACGCTTCCGTACTTTCCTTATTGTTTCGGCAAGTTTCATTCTTTTGATTGGACAATTATATGAAATGATTTATTTAAAAATGACAAATTTAACTTTAGAAAGGTTGAAAGCCACTTTTACATATTGTATGTTTGTTTAAATCAGAATGTGTATTTCCTGTTTGAAGCATATCATGTTAGGACTTTATTTAAAAAAAGGTTAGAAAATGCCATAATTAATTGAAATAATTTTAAATCACATGGTAAGTTTCTGTGTTATAATACAGACTCAGCCCCTCCTCGATTGCTGAATCTTATGAAAGCAGCGGTCATGTGACACCCATTCTTAACAACCCGCGCCCGCGTTTTCGCAAGCAAAGTGACAAAAATGCACAGGCATAATTACAGATTTTCAAAAGCAAAATGAAGAATGTTCACAAGCAAGATCGCGATTTTCTAAGAGCAAGGTGCAGAGTTTCACAAGGAAAAATTTCAAATTCAAAGATTTATTTAAACTAAGATAGATGTAGCACAATTAAAAAATAAATTAAACATAATCAAATTTATGAATGACTCCAGTACACGCAGCATTTTATGTTACTATGGGAAATGCTCATTTGACGAAATTAAAGTTGGGATGTTGGTAGATACAGGTAATCCTGTGTCAGCGGTGTCAATGTCATTGACCACCTATACTATTTTACAGTCCACTGAAGCATACAAATTTAATCTAAATTATTCTCAGTCGGTGAATCTTTGTCTTCAGGAATTGCTACTAAGTTGCAAAGAAAGGAAAAAAATATATGACAGTTCAATTTTGAGCATATTTCTTGAAGTTTACATGTTTTGTTGATGACATAGAAGAAACAATAGGGATTGAGCGTATAGGTTAATGACAAGGGCATTACGTAAGTTTGAATAAACTTAAGTGTACAATGAAGACAAAAGATGGTAAAGTCAAATTACATAGATATAGTGTACGTTGATCTTGAATACAGGGTTCGTAGTCTGTAGTTATCCGAGCTGGGCATGTAATGTTTATACCAACCAAAATGAATGTTAACACTTCACACAAACTTAATAATATCTTTGATTCCTCAAAATATTTTATTGATACAGGGATTTATATTGCTCATTCTTTGGTAGATAGTAAATACATGTTAAGAATTCAGCTTTATCAATTATGAATGTATTATCAACACTTTCCTTTTAAATTTAGAATGAATTCCATTGTCAGCATATTATCCCCGACAAATGGAATTATGATGGGTGAGATTAAAAAAAGGATTGGAGCACCACACAAAATACCGTATTCAGGTATATACCGTACAAGGCGTTTAAATATAAAATGCTAAAATCTTGCCATTTTACCCAACGGAATGAACTTTAAAAGGTCTAATTCTTCTTTACACACCGATTTATGCATGACAATGAATGGAAAATGTAATAATCGGAGAGAAAAAACGATATTTGTCTTTGTTGTGATGATGATTTCTTCAAGCGTCTAGAGGTACTGCTTCAATCCTGTAATGAGTTAAATCCATTTATGATATTTCACTGTAAAGCGACTACAACAAAGTAACTGTCTGAGATGACGTTTATAGTGTTGGTTTACAACAGACTCGTAGCTTCATTAGATTGTTCCGGCACAATGTCGCCAACAGCCGTATCATTTCTTTTACTTTCTTTCCAATCAAGTATCTGATAGCGTTTCTTCCGTTCGAAAAAATTGCACTGCAAACATAATATTGTAAATTCTAAGATAGTGTAAATGTATATACACTTATAAATGAAATATTGAGAAATATTGATACGGATTTTCACAGAGTGGTATGAAAATAAATATTTCATGAGTGGCGGTATACCATAACACAAGATATTCTCTATTTATTAACTGCTGTTGTCTATTTTATTGCAGTGTTATCATCTAACTGTAGAAAAAATAGTGATATATCTAGAGATAGAAATAAATGAAATTATTAATATATAAAATGTAAAAAATACCTTGTATTAAATTGTAATCAATATCTAATTACGAATTAATTGATTTATTACCGACATCAATAAATTAGAAACTCACTTTCCACAGTATTATGATCAGTAAAGTCAATAGGACTAAACCTCCGGCTGCACTTAAAATGAGTATCCACATATTTACCTTCCCTGGTGCAGTACCATGTTTAAGAAAAAATGTAGCCCATTTCTGAAAAAAAAAGGAAAATATAAATTTTGAACAAACAACTTTATGTGCTATACATTTAATCCATGGTTGTATATGCATATCTATGTAATGAAACGAGAAAGATAAAGACACAGAAATAATTGAACACAAGTATCAAACATGTCTGTTGGAATAATGATCAAAATATTGGAAATGAATGAGAACCGGAGCGAAAATCTTTGTCAATGTGTGTTACTTTAAATACATATTACAGGTCAGACTCAATCGCGTTTTTTCCGCAGTACTTATCGCACACATAAAATAAATATTATAGAAGTAAGTTATAGGGAAAAAGCCTCGCAAACAAGTGCGACAAGTCACCTACATTGATGCCTGATTTCAGAAGAAAAAAAAAACGATTGAAACAACTAAATGAAAAAATAGGTGGTCACTATCCGTAGTGTCTCATTCTTGCTTTTGAAAACAAACTTTCCCATAAGAATCTTACTTTCTTTAATGTTCTCGCGTGAAAAGTCTAAAATTACATGTTAAAGTATAATACATATGACATACATAAATAACGTTAACAAAAAAACACTCAAATATATTGTTTATTAGAGGGTTAAGGTTGGAAAGGCTTCAATTTAAATTATTCAAAGGTTTTGAAATGCGTAGCACAAACCAGACTCGCGAAGAAAATGAATAAAGAAAAGTGATAAAACTAGATTTAAAAATAAATGAGAAATGTGCATAGTTAATTATTGCTGTACGTTTCCAATCAATGAAAAAAGATGACACATACTTTTTGGAAAGCGGACTATTTCAACAATTATCGTTTAGGATGAAAATACATGTTAAGAATGTCTTACCCGAGCGAATACTGGTTCAGACCATGCAACAGATTTCATCCCGTACCAAATATTAGGGTCACTGACATTGGCAAAAGTGGCAAATCTGACACCGTGTGCGTTCTGTGAATAAGATACAAAATGACCCGATAAACACAATTCGTAATTATATTAGTTCAAAAGGCAAATTAACAGAATCTTTTGCTATCTCTGTAAAACATTAAGCCATTTCTTCTTTTTTGTACATGTAGAAATATAAACTTTAGAAACAGAGAATTTATTATCGTCAGATTTAGTTACGTCTCTATGTTTTTGTATCATGATCTAATCATTTTGCATACTTAGTTTGGTTCTTCGAAGTCAACTTAACGAAGTCGATACCTTCACATCAAATCCCCCCTCCCTATTGGTGTGGATACCGAACCCCGGCGGGGACTACGACTTTGTTTTTTTTTTGTCAGGAAGATATACTACTTTTGTTGTTCTACAAAGATGTACCCTAGTAATGCAATAAAAAACACCCAGTAAATTTGGAATCTCACCATATTATTTCTACAGTGTATGTTTGATTTACAGACCTCTAAAGAGACATTCAACCACAACGTTAATACGTAAATACTATAAATACATAATTAAAACAATGTAAATTCAAAATTAAAATAAAGTAACCTTCTCTTTGGCCAATCCCTTTTCGAATACATCTACTGTGAACTCAAAAACTTCTTGCTGGTATTGTTCCATATCGGTCAGCTTACACTCGATTACAATACAGTCATAGTTGACATTCTGACAGCTCTAAACGAGAATTAAATGCTTAGTTTTATTACGCAAGTCACCGTTTACATTAAACCATATATTAAATGTAAATCAATACGCTGAACGTACAATTTTCTTTTCATGCGTAATGTACCGAATGATAAAGCGTTATCAGTAAATTAAATACGTGTCATTATTGCCATATAATACAAGGGTTGTTTATATCAAGCTCTATCACACATGGGAATGCATGGACAAGAATAGTTACAGAATAATAGCAGGGGGTCTATATGTATACCAAGTTTAAAGAAATACCAGAAAAATGTCTTCAATATGTATTTGAAATTCTGTATTTTTTAATCAAAGAAGGCGAAACGTGAAGACTTAGTAAAAATCAATGCCTCAAGACATTTAACCAGACATTGTCGACAAAAGGTTTATGCTGTATCAGGCGCCGTTCTTTATTGATAAAATCCATCTAATACACCCACATATATAATTATATAAACTTATAAAAACGTTTTATATCAAATATCAATTGCCTTGAGTAAAAGAATTCTTATTTCAGATATGAGGTCACCATCAACACCTATTATCTCTTATTTGAATAGAACGAAGGTAAATGAAGCAAAGCAAAAATTATAGAGAAAAAACCACTTCAATACGGCATGTTCAATGTTTTTTGTCATTTAGGGCATGTTCAATGTTACTTGTTAAATGACGACTTACAATAGAGTTCATATCTTGAAAGTTTTCGTCCGGATCATCCTCATTAATGTCGGTTATAGTATCTTCCTTTTTCAGTATTTCAATGCCTTCAAAATAGAAATTTGATAGAGAGTTGAATATATTTGATAAATAAAAGGGAATTTATTTGTATATAATTGTATTTATTTTCCTCGAGAGAAATGTAGTCGGTCTGCTCAGTATGGTGGCTGATTTTGTATATGCTTTTGTGCGTTACGTTGGCGCTAGCGTGCGTTGTCGTGCGGCGTGTTGTCGTGATGTCACATCGTCGCTCGGTTCAAATGGAAGGATTGGCTTATAAGCCAAGCGACAGGGCGACATTGTCTTGTTTTAATTTGATTCTCCTTTTCTGCGTAGTAGAAATGCCCTTTTTTGTTATGAAGGAAAGGCACTAGGCATTATAACTTCTTGTCAAAGCAAGTTGCGACGGGAAATAAAGAAATGCTATGTATAGGAATTGAAAGCGGAATTAGTGTTCAATGGACTTATATGATTTATATTAAACTTCAAGCTAGCTAATCTAGTGAGATACATACTTCCCTCTGTCCCGTCATCTGTATCTATAATAGACATGTCATTAGCGTCTTCTTTTATTGAGCACGAATTTGAAATGTTCTGTAAATATATACAAAATAAGCCACATAATTACAAATATGAAAACGTATCGTTTGGGTTTTGAATCTAAATTCTTTAAAAAGATCCCTGTATGTTGTAATAAGTTTTAATATTTGTTACACTTAAGTGAATTTATTAATAATATTTTTATATATTATATTATAATTATAAATATAATATAAATTATATAAATATATTAATATATGCATAAGAAATAAGCTTCTAAAACAATGTTCAACATCGAAGAATATGTAAAATATGTACTGTAGATATGTGCCCACATTATAAGTAATCATTAAGATATATGCATTCATTTTAAAAAAATGACTTAGACTTTATAGAAAATAAATTTCTAATTACCTCCCATTATTAATATGAAAATGTAAATTCGGTAATATCTTAACAAATAATGCTTTTTGGAACTTACAATATTGATACATCATCATTTGAACTTTCATATAAAAACATAAAAAATTGAGGTACAGGATCTTCGATAAAACGACACCAAATGTCTATCTAAGCGTATATGCAATTTGAATATCGTAATATTCAGTCATCATATTATTGCATTAGCCACAGTTTTGTGCTAATTTCCAGAATCACCTGTTTTCGCGAAGTCACATGGCGGGTCAAGGCAGGAAAAAAGATGGAGGGGGCATGAGCCCAAAAGGCGTTTATATAGACGATATGGAGGCTCTTGTTGAGGCAGTGGGGAAGAGGTTAGAAGGTAGTCTTGAAAAACTTCAGGAATCAGTGGATAAATGTGTGTTAGCTGCTGACTTTGTAAAAGTAAAATGTGCTGTTAGAGTTAACCGTTATGAAATTGATAAACTAAATCAGTACTCAAGAAGGGAGAACGTGAGATTATTTGGTTTAGCTATTGATCAGGGAAAATCGCTTACTGAAACGGTAATTTCTATGGTTTAAATCACATCGCTAGACTTGATGCCAAATGCAAGGACAACGAAACGTCTACAGGGAAACATATGACGAGGAGACATAGCAATGGTAGTGTTGTCGATGAGTCGGAAATAAATTTGAGTGTCTCCAACAACTTAGAAGAAGGATTGGATGAATCTTATACTCCATTCTCTGCTGCAGATATCAGTATCTGTCATCCGATTAAAGGGAAGAAACCGCATCATATTGTTTAGATTTGTATCACGTAACAAGCTGGATGGTGTTTTTCAATAAAAAAACGTTTTATCAATCAGCCAAATGTACGAAGGGAGTGTTCATATCTGATGATCTAACACCGTTGAGGCTACGTCTAAAAGGATTATATCAAGGAATCGGGGAAAGTTTTCTAAACTTTACACTCGTGATGGTAAACATTCATTGTGTATTTCAAGAATAAAGATGAAGTAATCTCTTCACCAGATGATCTTTTTAAGATTGCTGCCAATTGACTTTAGAAAAAAATTGGTCTTGAAGCTATGAATAGGAATACGCAGAGGCTCAGTCTACTCGTAACCAGTTATGTTTGGGGGAATAAATGACCCTAATTAGTTCAACTTCATTTAATTTTTGTTCTAGTTATAACTTGACCGGTGGTCAAGACTGTTCACAAGTAACGATTCCAATAAGTTTATTTCAGTTGATATAGTTTCTAACCAGGGTGATGATGCAAACAAGTTATCTTGTAGTAAAAATGACAATATTAATAAACAGTTGTCGCACGTTGATTTTTATTACCATAATAGTGATATAGGGGCATGTAGTATGAACTCAAAATATGACTCTAATCAAGTTAATATGTGTGTATCTGCTGACAAGGATTTCTACTTTAAGTAATCATGATGATAAACAGTTACCGAATAACAGTGACTTGGGCCAAGTGAATCAAAATCAGTGGAACAATGATAATTCTAGTCATATAGATCAGTGTTTAATAAATATTCAACCTTGTTCGAGTACAAGTTACTCAAGTCAGTTTAAAATCATCACTTGTTAACTCTAGTGATTTAAGTATGCTTAATTCTTTTAATAATTGTTGATGATATTTCACATGATCATGTATATTGTATGTCCAATATTTCTAATATTACAAAATGTTGTTCTATAAATGTATGTGGGCTTAGATCTAAACTTGTAATTCCAGACTTCATTAATTTTGTTGAAAAATACGATATATTTTTTGTTTCTGAAACTAAATTAGATGAATATGAAACTGTTTGTATGAAAGACTATGTTTTCTTTCACAAATTTCGAGATAAATGCCGTAATAAATCGGGGGGAATGGGAGTTTTTATCAAGAAATCTTTATCCACAAAGTTAACTGTGTTAGATTGTAGCTCTGAGAATTTTTTATTTTTAAAATGCAAAGATTCTTGATGTCATCTTTTGAAATGTTTATATTCCTCCTGAAGGATCTCATTATAGCTCTCTTGAATTATTTGATAGCTTAGAAAGTTGTATTATTGATTTGGAAATCAAATTTGCAAACTGTTTTATTCTGTATTTTTGTGATTTCAATGCAAGAACTGGTTCCTTGAGTGATTTTGTTGACTTTGATAAGTATGTAATTAATGAAAATTTTTGATGATATTACCATGCACAACATATAGTTATGAATAACCTTGATGAACTTGGTTTCCCCTGTTGAACGTTTTTTCTTGTGACAGCAAATGTAATAATTATGGCCAGAGACTTATTCAGTTGTGTAAATCTGCAAATATCTTTATTGGTAATGGTAGATGTGGTAATGATGCATATATTGGTAGAAACACATGTAATAAAGGTAATGGTAGCTTGATCGATTATTTGCTTATGTCAGGAATTTTGTTCCCTTGTATATAATATTTTTATGTTTTTGCAATTTGATCCAATTTATCTGATGTGCATTGTGCATTGGAATTTTGTTTTAAACTTGAACATTATACCAGATTGTAATGTTATGGATGCAAGTATCAAATCTAAAGATGATGTTTGTTATAGGCCTCTGTGGAGTTCTAATTTAAGTGCTAGTTATAAGCATAAGTTCGATAGCACAGCTGTATCAAATTTATTGGATGAGCTTAAAGAGGTTTGTGAAAATCGTCATTTTTGATGTAAATGTTGTTAATCATTTGACCGGTAAAGTGTCTGGTATTTTTAACCGATGCAGCTGTAAGTTGTGATCTTATAAAGAAAAATGTTAATCATAGGAAGTCTAAGAAAAACAATAAAATTTGGTTTGATAGTGATTGTAAAAATGTTCGTATTCAATATATGAATTATAAAAACATGTATAGCAGGAACCCTACTGCAGAAAATAAAGATAGTTTAGTTTGTAGTAGCCGACAGTATAAAAAAGAAGTTAAGAAAAAGTTTAGAGCATATCAGAAAAGCATTGTTGATAAAATTAAAGGTTTAAAAAATAAAGATCCTAGATCTTATTGGAGTCTATTGAACAAATATTCAGGTGATCGGAAGGAAGTTATTAACAAGTAACAACTGAGGCTTTTTTTGATCATTTTAGTAAATTGAATGAGGTTGACACTCAAGTTGACATTGATGACTTTGATATAACTAATGTTCTCGTCAAATAACTCTGATTTAGATAAACCATTTACTGTATTAGAAATACGTAAAGCTACTATTTCACTGAAAAACAATAAAGCATCATCTTCCTTTGATCATGTATTGAATGAATATCTGAAGAATGTACCCCGACAGCATGTTTGATGTGTTTTGTTATTTGTTTAATATTATTTTAGATTCGGGGAATTTTTCCTGAAGTTTGGAGTAAAGGGATTATTTTACCAATATACAAAACAAGGGTAACATAGACGATTCAGATTAATTATTGGGGAATTACTATACTTAGTTGTTTTGGGAAACCTTTCACAAATGTTCTTTAACTCTAGACTCAATAATTTTTTTAGAAAGTAATAATATTCTCTGTGAAGAACAAGCTGGATTTAGGAAAAAGTATAGCACTACTGATCATATATTTCCTCTGAAAACTTTGATTGATTTATATCTGTCTAAAGGTAAAAAGTTATATTTGTTCTTTTATTGATTATAGAAAGGCTTTTGATAGCATAAATAGAACTGCACTTTGGCAGAAATTAATTAGCAATAATGTTGATGGTAAATGTATAAAGATCATTTATAACATGTATTTTACAAGCTAAATCTTGTGTTAAAAATTAATTCTTTTAGTCATATGTCGGATTTTTTACAAGTCATACAGGCGTTCGTCAGGGTGAAAATTTATCTCCCATATTGTTTTCTTTATTTTTTAAATGATTTAAACTATTTCCTGTCACAACATTTTAATGGTCTGGATCTACTATCAAACATTGTAAATGATACCCTGAGTGATTCTGATGTTGAAATGTATTTTAAATTGTATATTCTTTTATATGCTGATGACACTGTCATATTTGCTGAATCTGCTGAAGAACTGCAAAAAGCACTAGATGCAATGTCAAATTATTGTCAATTATGGCATTTACAAGTTAATCCTAGTAAAACTAAAATTGTTGTTTTTTTTGTAAAAGTAAAAGAGGTTTTATGTAATATTCCAGCCTTTAGTTTTGAAGGTAATTTGCTAGAAATTGTTGATGATTTTTTCATATCTGGGTGTTAAGTTCTCTTATAATGGTAAATTTGCTAAAACAAAGAATCATTTATTAGAACAGGCAAGGAAGGCTATGTTTTCAATTATAGTTAAGGCTAGAAAATTGGATTTGCCTATCAGTATGCAAATTCATTTATTTGATAGCATGGTAGCACCTATATTGTTATATGGTAGCGAAGTGTGGGGAATTGAAAATGTGAATATCATTGATAGATTTCAATTAAAATTTTATAAACTCATATTAAATTTGAAACAAAGTACTCCAAATTGTATGCTTTATGGAGATTTAGGGATATTACCTTTATCTATTCATATAAAAAGTAGAGTTTTGTGCTTTTGGAATAAGATTTTAAGTAGCAAACAGGAATCAATAAGCCATATATTGTATGATATGTCACACTCTTTGTATTGTAGAAATGTGTTGAAACTCCCATGGATGAATAGTGTTTGTAAATTACTAGATTCACTGGGTTTATCAAATTTTTGGATTAATAATGTTGCCACTTCTCTTCCATTGTTTAAGAAAATTGTTAAAAATAGACTGAAAGATCAGTTCATTCAAAATTGGCATAGTGAAATGTCACAATCAAGTAAATGTCTGAATTATAGAATGTACAAAAGTGAATTCAGATTTGAAAAGTTTTTAGATATTTTACCATCTCATTTAGCTTTGGTACTATTGCGCTTTAGATGTATGAACCATAAAATGCCTATTGAGTCTGGTAGATTTTGTAATATACCAAGAGAATTAAGAGTGTGTAATTTATGCAATAATAGCTCACTTGGTGATGAATATCATTATTTATTTAATTGTCAATTCTTTAATACTGATAGAAAAAAAAATATTACTAGAGAGTATAGTACTAATGTTAATTCAATCAAGTTTTCTATGTTAATGAATAGCACAGATAGGAGTATATTGTTAAAACTTGCAGTATTCTGTAAAAAAAATATTTCAGCATTTAAGTAACTGATAACTAAGCTTATTTTCATAATGTAACACTTTCATTTTTGATTTATATTTGCCATGTAATACATCAGCATATTTCGTGGATATCTCTTTATATGTCATACTATATGTATATATTATTGTATATGTGACTGATGCCTCTATGAGGCCCAGCATTTTCAATAAACTGTTCAAACTGTTAAATCATATCAAAGGACACAGTTACCTTAATCATTGCAATTTGAACGCCATGCTTCGTAGCAGGAACCGTGAAATTGACGTATGTAAAATGTAGAAAACTTGGTCCTCTGTTTGATACGTAGAAACGTTGAAGAATACTCAATACACGTGGACTGTTTACGTCATCTTCATAGACTATCTGGTCGTCAACGTTGTTGCTAATAAGAAGTATGAGAAGATATGGTATGATATGGTTTAGCATCATTGGTAGTGATTTGATATTGTACAGTGTTATATGGTAGGACAGAATGACAGAATTGAGAGGAATGCGATAGTGTTCGGTTCGGTATGGTATTATATGAATCTGTATGGACTAAAATAACATTGTATGGTGAAGCATGGTGTGGCATGCGTTGTTATTGCATATAATGACATGGTGGTATTTAATTATTTGCTATGGTATGGTAAGGGTATGATATGGTACGGTACGGTGCGGTAAGGTAAGGTAGGTAGGTACGGTAATGTACAATATTGTATGATATGGTATTGTATGGTATGGTTTGGTATGGTACGGTTTTGTATAAAGTTTTATTGTATGTTATGACGTGGTATTGTATGGTATGGTATGGTTTAGTATGATACGGTATTGTATAAAATTTTACTGTATGTTATGACATGGTATTGTATGGTATGGTATGGTATGGTGCAATAGGTATTGTATGGTATGGTATGGTATGGCACAATAGGTATTATATGGTATGGTATGGTATGGTATGGTATAATATGCGGTTTATTGCTACCTACTCTTCCTGTATAACAATATCGTGTTTCAATCTAACCGGAATAACCTCTTCAAATATGTTGTTATAAGGGTTGAGATCCGGATTCTTTTGTTCTGCTTTGATTTCAATCTGCAAAGTTGAATTTATGTTATAGTAACATTGTCAATATCAACTCATTTTTCTTTTTTGTAATATGATTAGAATGAGACAAACATTAACTTATACTAACTCAATTTACAAAATCGCATTCGGGACTTGGATATGTAAATGGCATTGATTATAGCTAGAATTGCAGCTCTTAAAAAGGTATAACACATTACCGTAATAAAGTCTTTCATTCTTTCAAGGTCGTTGTTTGGGAAAAGTATGGGATTCGATATGTCATAGTAGAATTTCACTTTGATGTTTCTTGGTCCCAATAAAATGTTGTTTGCTTTGCATACGGCGAGGGTGACGTCACTGGTGTTGGTATGGTCCGTTAACTCGCAGCTTGCTCCAATGATACCATGATCTGGGCTGAAAATTATCAAACAAAAACATGTCCAAAATATCAGCGGTGTTGGTGTGTTTTGTTTAATGTTTCTTTAACTTAGGCACAAATATACAATATCATGAAAATAATAATGATATTGTAACTGTAGTGTATTTTGTTTAAAGAAATTATAACAATAAAGTTCAAACACTCACAATTCTGCCGTTTTCGTACAATTATGTGTAACTTATGTTATATCTTATAATCAATTTTACATTAAACTATTCTTTGGTAAAGATTTATATATGTTTAATCTTTCAATATGACTTATGAACGTCACATACAATACTAACATTTGGTTATTTCATTGAGCGTAATAAACTTTACAAAATTTAAGGTTGCATGTATAAATTGCATCCTATGTACGCCCGATCATGCCGAGACGTAAAATTTAATATTCTGTTTATTTCATTTCATTTTAACCACAAATATACATGTAACACGCATGTTTATTTAACATGACAGTACGTAGTCAATATCTAAAAAAATAATGACGTCGTTAATATTTTTTCTAATACCGCGTTCGCTTATGGATTTGAGTTTCTCCAGTGTTGAACCAAAACCTAGCCAAAGCAACAAAAATAAATATCGGGTTTTTTTAGTTAGTTTTTACATTTTTCATTCATAATCGCATATAATTGGCGAGAGGAAATGAATTAGTCGTTTAAAAGTGCCTAAAATGGCGAGTTAAAATGCAAGATTTTATTAGTAACTTGTTCCTTGCGGAATACGGTATTTAGTGTGGCGCTCCAACACTTGTTGGGTGAAAGACAGGGTTTTCTAGCACCGGTGTAAACGGTAGATAATCCTGTCTGAGATGCAAGAATAATTACCACTGACATCATCATTTCGCAACAATTACGTTTCACGCACCATCACATTTATTGAGCATTTCTGATCGTTGTTAATGACATGAAATAATTAGAATATTATACCATGTACAGCTAATGTAATGATCAGGCCAATATGGACGCATATATGGACAGCATCTAAACATACACACTTATATGATCTGTTTAAAGTCCATATTGAGTTTTTACGTTTATTAAATATGATATATCTATTAATTTCATTCATTGTACTGTGGAGTCAATCAATCATTTAATTAAGCAATCATTCATATGCTCCGTTAACGAACAAATAAAGAAATAACGGTAAGTATCTGTTGAGTTAAATATATATCATTAGTACAAATTACCTTATTGGTCGGCTCAGTACAGAAGATACATTTGACGTGAAGAAAACACTATGTGATGTCTTATTCACACTTCTTACGTCAACAACAATCTGAAAACACGTACCGTAAATGTGAAATAGAAATATGAAATAGTATTGTCTTCAAACATTTGAAACAATTATTAATTATTCAATCAGATGAAGGTTATTGGCTATCTCTTACTCAGAACATTTATGACTTATATTTGTTTAATATTTGATCACTGAATAAAATGTAAATAGCAATTCACGGTTTATCGCATTTGTTAAAGATTATACGTGCAAATATTTGATATATAAAACAACAGATGTAGCAAGTATTGGGATTCATCAAGTATTTGTATACCGATCTATTTCGTCAAATGAAATCTCTTGTTTTTCATTGCAGTAAATGTGACATGTTTAATGAACGATGATCTGTGAAATGCCGCCCTGACCTGGTTTGTTTTTAAGCATCTTCTGGTTCTATAGTTATTCTCAAAGAATATATAAGTATGATATTAATTAATATTGCCATAACTCAAACCTGCCTCAGAAAAGTCACAATTTGTATAACTCTATGCCATATCCACTTAATATGTAAGGCTATGTGAATTTACAATCTAGTATATAATACTAGTATATAAAATTTAAAGGGAAACTACTCTTACCACTAATTCAGTTGCTTCGCCAATATAAATCTCCGTATTGTTATCCACATGTTTCACATGGTCCTTGCCAATGATAAATTTGTCCACAGTTACTTCTAAATCTGATGTACAAGTTTCTATTCTTACACATTTCTTTTCGAATTCAACCTGTTAAACAAACAAACGGATATGATTCGTATTGCTCATAGATATTTGCAAAATATGAAATTCACATTTGAATACTCAACTAAGTTAAATGCAAACTGGTGTTAAAAATGCCTATCGCGGTGACTTTTGATATTGAAATTCTTATAAGTAAATACTAGTATACAGTCATTTCAAGTTTGAAAACGATATAATTCTGAATTTCGTCATTCAGACATAATCTGAATTGTTCGGTCAAATCGTTTTGCTTAATATATTCCTCTTTTTAAACGACATCTTCTGAACAGCAATAGATGTTTTTAATTCAAAAAACAAAAGGCGCAACATCCTAGAGTGATATGAAGACAAAAATGAAAGGAAACGATTTTACATACATCTTTTGTGGCATGTATTACATCATTCTTGTCGATAACTGGGTCTAAAACATCAAACTCGGTTCCATCTGATTTTAAAACTTCAAAACTGCTTTCTATCCTGACTTCCGTCCAGATGTCCTTTGGTTCCGGATTTCCCTTGATTTGAAGCAATATTTTATGTTTGAATGCCAATTTTAGATATGATATATTATTATATATCATTATATATACAAATTTCCAAAAAATGCCATACCGGTATACATGTAATCCTTTTTGTTTCTTACCTTGCATTTATACAAATAAAATAAGACAATATGACTAAGGATGCTGAAAAATCTTGTTATTCCAATGTTATTATTTACGTTTCTGTTAGATACAAAAAATAAGCAAAGTGGTTGGATCAATATGAACTTTTTAAGAAAAAAATATCTACAAATTGGTATGATTTATTAAAGTTGTACACTTTATGGCGTAATGCTTATTGTATTTCTTTTATACAGAGCTGATACAAGTGTGTAAGTTGCTTGATTAACTTACCTTTACCATAAGAGTTATGGTCTCATTTGTTAATTTTCCGCGTTCCAGAGTCAGGTTTTTAAGTAGTTTATCTGAATTCGTGTCAAGAAATACCACTCTGGTGGACTCTTCCATCGTCAGGTACAAAGTGTCTGCCATCATTGTCAATAAACCGGCTATAACAAACATGACATGAATTTTACTTTTAACTGAAGTTTATTTATATGCACTCTACTAACCGATTAGAATTAAGGATAATTCATGGACAGCGCAAGAGATTTTTACATATATTATCGATAACACAGTCTTTGGTATTTTAATAAATTGTAAGGTGTGCCTTAACAAACTTTGTTCATCAGATAAATTAGTAAAGAGATTAAAAACTTTCATGTTTTCTCTCCAAAGTCTCTAAGTTTAAATGTTACTGAAATATTTCCAAAAACTACGTACACACATAATTGAGAGCGCCATCAGTATGTCCCATCGTTTTATAGGATAATTTGATTTTTACATCAAAACAGAGCTTTTCCGTATCATTTGGACATATTTCAAATGAAGTATTCAATGGAATAGGGTCCGGCTCTATAGTCATATCAACGTCAACTGTTATAACAGGTTTAGTTCTAAACACAACAACAGTGTCTGATTCATATGCTCCGACTACCATATCTGAAAATAAAAAGTTTTCATTTTATTGGAGACATTATTTTGGTTCATAATTTTGCACTTTAAGTGATTCATTCGTTCATAAGTATTATTTTATTGTTAGAAAAGCTCTACGGAATAAGAGAACATTAATGGCAAAGGTGCCCGCATTGCCATAAGCCTACAGCATGCTAAAAATCTGAATAGGAGTTAAATCTTACACATGATAAAATTTGAATTGTAATATATATATTAGTGATTCGTAATATGTTTCCTTGTAAAGCACATTTATACAGTTTCATCCATAATGAATTTCTACCAATACTATCAAAACAAGATTTCAAATAAATTGAAATCAACTAACCCTACATAAAACACTTTAAATCTTTTAAATATTAATAAAGTTGTATTACAGAATAGAGAATAAACAAATGTATGAACGATTGCAATTGTATGAACGATTGATCTCCCCTTTCTAAAACCAAATATCAACACTATTTATGCTGAGATGGATGTCTTTAGGGGTTTATATCCTAATTTATAAACCACTTCTATCTGTCAATAAGGTTAAAACAACTGTGGTTGTTTTTGGGAGTTCTAAACGTCCATGCTAATTACATCAATTAATTATCATTTACCACGTATATTGCTCGATATAATGAGGACTTTCATCCCATTTCGCGACTTTGAACGAGGAAGGAGGTAAGTTCAGTGACGATATTTAGTCATTTGGAATTGGTTTTGATATAAATTTTATAGAAAAACGAAATACTTCGATAATTTCTCTAGTTGCTGAAACCCCAAAATGTTGAGAAATAGCTTTGAAATGTAATTAGGAGGTATAATTCGTCTCTTTTGCTCACGTTGATAAATGAGCTCGGATCAGTCAAATTTGATGTTTTTGTGCATATACTTCCTCAAAAGAAAAACTTGAATCGAGTGAAATGTGATTATGATGATAATGTTTATGATGTAAATGTTCAATTAACAATAGAACCCCAGATGACAGTGCATTTTGAGAATAATACACATGTCAGTGTACCGAGTATTGCGTTGGAGTTGCCCCGTCCGGTGTCACGAGTATTGCTTTTTTGGTGTAACGAGTATTGGTTATCAATATAGAGTAAATGAAAGTAGTAAACACGAGTATTTTCCGGCATTTAAATTTTTTAAAATATTTTTTTATTGTGTACATTATTTTACTATATGTGCACCAATATTGCAGAGTTCGGAAGTACTTTTTACTGGAAAAACATTGCGGAATTTAATCCAGATTTTCATTCCTTGATCATGAAAAAATCCTTCAGTTCGAACTCAAAGCAAATTTTCTGTGTTTACCAAAGTTCTCCACGTTTGGGCTAATTTTTCGGAAGGATCAACCTTTCCAGAATTTGTTTAATAAATTATTGCATATCTTACTTTAAATAGTAAAAAAAGCATAAAGGTCCATTTTGCTGCCTGAAGAAGATTAGTTCAATATTAGGGATGGTATTGAGCAAGTGTGCAAATATTCTGTTTATCAACCGACTTCATACTTATGCCAAAAATCCATATAAAGGTTAACTTTCGGTCATTTTTGTACCTTGCACTCTAGCAAAACGCAGACCGTCTGCATGTGAAATGTGTTACGGGGCCCATTAGCAATGAGTTACCGTATGACTGCCGAGCGGATACAGCTCAAAAAATCGAAAAATGGATTTTGATAAGATTATGATAAAGGGCAGCAGATGCAATAAGAAGGTTATGTTCCTTATTACCTATTACCACATAAAGGCGTGTTTTAGGGCTGTCTTGTGCTGTCCTGTTTTTGTTTGGGGTCCGCCTTGCTCCTTGCCACTGGTTCGTGTTGCTGGGTCGTAAGGGGTTGCGTTCATTGAACGCCGCTTTTCCTTTTCTTGTTTATCATATTTGAAGGCTTTACAACCCCACCCCTTTTGAGGCCTCAAATAGTGTAAAAACATGCGCTATTTAGAAATTTTAAGTTTGAGAAAATTAATGTTGTTCAAAAGAGTGATCACTTTTTCGGCGCCACCACCACACCCAAGTAAAAAGGTACATCACGGAGGTGCCACAGGGGAGGTGTACCCTCTTCTGTTTGGGGGTTTGAAGTGGGACAGAAGCCCTTCTTATCGCCGAGTAGATTTTGGACTTGGGCGGGGGGGGGGGGGGGGGGGCAAAGGCCTCAGGTCGATTTAAACGTACCGTGTTGTAATCAACGCCGAAAATCTTAGACTTTATCTCAATCAATTGAGAAAGTTGCTGCACTTGAAATCAGTTTTGATGGGGAAAAACAACGCAAAAAAGAGATTTTTGGCAATTTTGAGACGTCCCCCGTTTGTCATGGTAACTGGAAATTTCATATTGAGCATGGTGTTCCACAGGCTATGGTCCAGCCAACATTTTGTGCCCAGTTTTGATCAGTATTGAAGCATTTTTTATAGTTTCATAGCAGTTTTGAACTTGTAAAAGAGGCTTAAAATCAATGTTTTTTTTTCTTCTCCTTCTTTTCAGAGATGGGTCTCTCTTTGGACATGCGTTTAAAGATTTTAACGTCAATTTTGATGGTTCATCCCCTGCTCCCGACCCTGCTTCCGACCCTGCACACACTTTGTTTCATCCATAGTGTGATTTTCAATCAAATTGGAAATTCAATCTCTGTATTTGCCCGTGGGAAAAGAACAGTATTAACACTGAAAATGCATTGTTGAATCTGAATAATTTGAATAGATATCATCATATAAACAGTACATTATCAGCAGAATGTAATGGAATCGATAAACAGACGTGAAAATTAGACAAAAATATCGATTTTCCATACTTATGTGCTAATTTTGTTTTGCAATACACTGTACACTAAAGTTGGGCTATTTTGCAATACTCTGTACACTTAAAATCAATACTCGGTACACTTTCTTGTATCTTTTTTGGCCTGTATCTTTTTGTACTTTCACAGTTTTGCCTGAAATTTGGACAAAGCATACTTGGATTGTGAATAAAAAAATTGCTCGATTCAATTTTTTTATATTGATAATATAATAATTTCTCACGACTCTACAGTATCGCGGTCAGTATTTCCTAGTGAGCAGCAGATCGTTTTGAGGTAGTTTAATCAATTTTACAAATACATGTAATACTTTTACGTCTTTTAGAGCTACAAAAATACCTCTAGATATATAAAACCCGTTGAAATAAATGAAATAGCCATTAGTTTGGAAAACAAGAGCGATCAGTAATCACATGTGTCGCCTCATGATGGCCAATTTCATGTTGGGACAAATTTTGTGACAGACAGACAGACAGACAGACGGACAGTGCACAACTAGACTTGGTACTGATCATTCCTGTAAAGTTTGGATAAAATTGCACCAGTAGTTTATGAGGAGTAGTCCGGACAAGCTTTTGCGTATCTGGCAACACACAGAAAAAAAGACCTTTTTATCAAAGGGCCATAACTCGGCCAAAAATCATTCAACCGGAAAACCCGTGCAATATGTGCAAGGACTTGAGCTACAGAAGGACTTGAGTTACATATCAATCCTGTAAAGTTTCATTGAAATTGCATTAGTGGTATAAGAGAAGTAGTCCGGACAAACTTTAAAATTAAAAATTATTAAAGGGCCATAAATCACTGAACCGGAAATGCTGACAATATGCACAACTAGACTTGGTACTGATCATTCCTGTAAAGTTTGGATGAAATTGCACCAGCTGTAGTTTATGAGCAGTAGTCCGACAAGTTTTGTGACGGACGGACGGACGGACAGACAGACAGATGGACAGACGACGACAGACAGACGACGGAGAAGTGATCCCTATATGTCGCCACTACACAAAAATCGTCGTTGAACTTACCTTCGTTCTCTCCGTTCAAAGTCGCGAAATGGGATGAAAGTCCTCATAATATCGAGCAATATCCGGGGTACGGTATACCGCAGTGATCATTGAGGCGGTGATATTGATGAATATTTTTCAATGTTAATTGTGCACGAAAGGAGGCATCTCCTGTCATAATGCTTGCTGATATATCTTTAGAAAATGTTTTGAAAACGTACACCCTTCTCAGAGGCAAACATAACAAAGATGTTTCAAAAATGAAAGGTCGGATACAATAATATTAGTTTAACTTAAACGATGCTCCTGTTATTATTTGAATTTCTACTTTTTTGCTATTTTTTTTAATTATATTATGCAATATAATTGCCTTAATTATCTTGAGGAAAAATGAACATTGTAAATACATGTATTTCGATATCCACGTCAGCATACCTGGAAATCCGTTATTGTCTATGTCTTCATTTCCATAGATGCTCCACCCAAATGTCCGGATTCCTGGATCTACAGTTTGCCCTTAAAATAGCAGTACATTTACATTTACATAAATTTCTAGGATATAAAATCTAACATCGTACACGCAAGAGAGGTAAGTAAATAGATAAGAGGTATTGCCAAATTAAAGCATAATATATTGAACTTATTTTCATTTGTTTAAAGAATTCAAATTATGTTCGGGTTTAAATGGTTCAATATTATTCAAGTTGGGTGATCAGAGTTCAGGAATGAAATAATGTTTGTTTTTACAATAATTTTGCTTCATTCTGTAATGCATTCAATCATCCCGACAGGCCATGCTCTGTTTGTTTGTTTTTGGTTTCCCAAAATAATGTTACAATTACAACATCTAAATAAAAGCAAAATCACTCTTGCCATCACCAATTACGTCATTTATATGTTTTCGGCCCAAAGACTACGTTCTTAGGTATGGCCATTTTTACTTTTAGTTCACTTTCAAATTGGAATTGTTTGTACAAGTCATTCGAGTTATTAAAGAAAGGCATTATGTAAGCACCTGTTATACGCTGTGTATATTGATCCTTCATTACAGAATATCCACCATTGTAAATATAAATAGCTCCAACGCCATTGTTTTCATATGGAGCTCCGATAGCAACATCTGAAAGAATAGCTACGTTCTCATTCAAATTTGTCTTTCAAGTATATAAACGTGAAGCGAATGAAATAATGTTCATGGAAGATCTAGGCAATTATATCATGTTGCACGGGTCTATTGACAGACACAGATCTGTTGTGTATTCAAATTGAACAGGTTAACAAAACATAGTATTCTAGATAAAACCTACTGCTTAGCATTTCCATGACATTTCATAAAATAAGAATATGCATGGCAGAATATCGAAACGCTTAAACGGAAAAGTGTCACGTCGTTTTTATTTTTTATGCTACTTCTTATATTTTGCAGTCATTTTTGATATATTGTTACAATTAGATTACTGATAATTTATAAGCTGAAATAACAAATTAGAAAGTACACATACCGTTGAGGTTGTCATTGGCTAAATCTCCTACCGATGCGATGCAAGTTCCAAACCTTGCAAACATTGTTTTGTCTTTAATCTTACTATGACGTGTCCCACCAGATAAAACTCCAATAGGCCCACAAACTTGCTGAAATATAAAAAAACTCGTTACAAGATCTGTACATACAAGTGATTAAAAGTGTAAAATAAAGTTATACAAATATAACAAACGTTTTAAAGACCTTTTTTAAAAAATTTAGACGCATTAACAAATAAAATTTGATAAAAATGAATGCATACCGACTTTGAAAACGTGTACACAAAAACACGCCCTTCATCGGGATTTTCCCCAGAATAAAGTGGAGCTGCGACAAGAACTTCATCAAAGCCATCCCCATTTACATCGACTGTTTCAACAACAGCGCCAAACTTTGTTCCCTTTTGTGATGTCCGTATTAGTTTTTCAAAAGCATGTTTTGTCATACCCGGTACGCCTTCTGTTGAACACTATAACAAAAAGATTGTGTTTTTAAAGGACAGGTAAAAACGCAGATGAAATAAAATATTGTTAGTTTAAATGCAAAGACCCAACGGCACTGTTTTGCTTAGACTTTTTTTCATGTGACTGTTTAAAACAGTAGTAGTTCGACACTTATCTTGAATGTTTTGCCTGAGTCTCTATAATATTACTAGATGCTAATGAAAGTCTGATTCCTTATTCAAGTTATTGCATCAGAATCATGTGAAACGAAAGTTCTAGAAGTTCAAAAACATAATAGAATTTGATAAGACACGTTGTCTTTCATTCTTATCCTGTTTTTCAAAGACTATTTGAAATGCTTTGTGTATATTGTAAATTGTAATATACATGTATATTCTGAGAAATAAAATATGTTTAAACTAAAGACAAAATAAATGGGTACTTGTAGTTTGTAAATATATTTCGGAATGTTACAAATTTAATTTATTCTTATTATGAAATCAAAAATCAAAAGAGATATAAGAATTTATTACATCGTAATATGCCCCAAAGTCTATTGTTGTCTTTGGAACGTTTCCTTTAAATATCACCGCCTGAAATAATGTTTATAAACAATAAGAACAATTAAAACACGGAAGAAAAACGTTTAACCAGATTTTAATTTTTATCTTATCGGTATTCATATATAAGAGGATGATATTTTATACATTAAGTGTTGTTTTCTCCTTTTATAAGTGACCACGTGCTATCTCCTTAAGGATAGAGTGCTAATACTTATCAGTGGCTTTGAATTATTCTACATATCAAACAGTTAAATAACTGATAAAAAACTAACGTAACAAATGTATAGAAATCTATAGAAATATAATTATATATCTATACCTTTATCATTAATCTAAATCAACCAAATAAAATCGTTATTTTATTTTTATGTACATTAAAACAAGTGTGTTAACACGTTTTTTTTTCTCTCCTCTAATCTTCGCCTTTCTTTCCACTTAAGTCGAAAAAACAAACAAACAAACAACAAAAACAACAAAAAATATTAATAAAGTGTTACAAATGGACATTTTCTTTGACATCGATACATTTAAAAGCATGCATATCTTATTAACAATTTTCTCTATTTTTTTCAGTCGAATTGTATTTGACATTATACTCTCCTATGAATTGAAATTATAAGTAGAAAGTCAAATGCCAGGCTAAAATAAAACTATACCTGACCAACGTGTCCCATAGTTTTTATTCCATTGTAATTAGGCGCACCGACAACTATGTCTGCATCCATTTTAAATCTTCCAGCTTTAAGATCGTACCCTAGAATTAAATCATTTTATAGTACTAAGTATTTAACTTTGTAGTTTATAAAAGTTTTAGTAAAATAAATAACCGATTCTTTTCATATGCAAAAACTATTTGCAGGGTTTCGAATTCAAATAGTCAGATTTTTAACATTTCCATTGTCACGTAAAATTCCATTGTTCAACGAATAGCGTACAAAAGCAAGTTTGTGTAACAAAAATATAATTAGTATTTCAATGATAAATAATTCTCACCAAAATATGTGGTATCAGAGATGTTAAGTGTTTGTCTGATCACCCATTTCTTTCCTGGAGAACTAAATGCGCCTAGATAAAAAAAACTCTCAATGGGTTATTGAAGCATTTGCATCACTTGCATCAAGGTTATAAAACTTTATCTAATGAAATATTTTATAAACGTTTAAGAACTGTTAAAGTAAAATTTTGTTGTTTCATTTATCTTATACTCGACAGTGTTGTAAAGTAGAATGTTCCTGTTATTTGATATATTTGCCTTCTTTTCGTAAACACGATAAAAAACGTTCCGGAACAAAAATAGTATTCTGCAGTTTTAAGTAGGGTTATTAACCTTTTATCAATGATTTTGTACATGCGCCATTTGCCCTGAAGAAAAAATACCAACATATTTCTTTCATCTAGGCATTGAAGAGTAATTATTTTTCAAAACTTAAACAAATACTTTTGGAGACTGCAGACGGGATAACTATAGCTTTATACTTATATAAATGTATAATACTTACTTTATATTAGTAATTTATAGATAAATGATATTACATGCATATATTGTTTAGTATGTTTATATTGATGTATGAATACTACGGAAACGTATAGCGACCACCCCGACATGTTAGTTAAAACAGGATTTTTGACAATTTATTTAATACATATTATATACCTAACCAATTTTTACAAACTAACTTGATCTGAAACATTTATCTCGTTATATCTACCGCCCCTGCATTTTGGTAAAAACAGAATTTAAGACAATTTATTGAACGCACACACGATATATATCTGACCAATATTAACATTGCTATATGATCTTGAATATATATCATTTACTCAATCTGCTGTTTATATTGCTGGATTAAAATTTATGTGAAATTTTTCAGTTCATTTATATGTATTAGTTATATATACTTGATGTTTTTTATTCGCATACCTCTATCATTATGAAATATAATTTAACATATTTTACAATTTATATTTGATAATGAGGACAGAAAAATCCTACACAATCTAAAGCTTTCTTAAAGGTTATATATGGATTATAGCCCTTTGAATGACGGTTTCTGTATTTCAAAGATTAAGGAATGTGACTCCTCCATTACGCGCGCAAATATGGCAGATCGTTTGTCGTATCAGAAAAGTAACCGAAAGATTTCTCTCCATCACCAGCATATATTATCTTTATTAGCAACTGGTTGATTAAGCCTTTTTTACATTTTTATCTTTATCATGTAACATCCTCTGTACAAGCCAATTTAAATCAATGAGTAGCTCAATTGGTGGAAATTATCATTTTAACTGCATATTATAAATATTTTGCAAAAAAGAGATTTTATGAAAAATATAAAATAGCGTGCGCTTCATCACCATAACATTTGATGTTGACCGCATTCTTGTAAGTTTCTATAAATGGATAGTTTTATATGATGTGTAACACGAGAAAAGTCAAGACATTTGTATTTGATAAAGGAAGCAGTTAAATCAAGTTATGTCGTAAATCATATATTATACGTATTTTTTCGTAATCTAACGTACGTTTTTCATCTTATAATGCAAGATAAACTACTTTTAACTTTCTGACAAACACTTACATCTTTTTAAATATGTATTTCTTTCCTCAAAGCATATTTACATATAACAAACATTCTATAAAACTATAAAAAGGTCATTTGATATGTATCATATAAGGGTGGTCGCTATACGTTTCCGTAGAATACAGTCATGGATAAGTAATTCATTTGAAATTTTCGAAACGACAGCATTTCTTTTATTCATGGATTCGTGGATTCTAAAACATTTCAATTGTTCAACTGGTACCAAATTGTTCAATGTCATCTAAATATATCAGTCCTTAATATACACAACTAATAGAATTGAAATAAATGAGGAAAAACCTCTCCAGTCATCTACACCTGGACCTCCAACGAGCTCATAACCGTCCTAGAGAAAATATAAAAAAGGGTCAACATTGAAACAGATGTACTCAAAAGCAACACAAGATGTCATAAACAATATGATATTTTACTAACAATTTGAGATCAAATACTTAACAACGTTCGATATTGTTTGGTAGTGTCCTAATATTTATACTCGGATATAAACTAATATGACTTTCTTGAGCACAGCTGTATCTATAACTCGCACCTTACCAGGCGCTTTAATACCAAGAAATAATTTGATATCAGACATTTTAATTTTGTGCCCTCTTAAAGGATAACAATGTAATTTTCGTAAATAATATTGTGACCTTTGTAAAAGCCAGTGAAAATCCTGCTTCAGCGTAACTAAAGACGGGTCTACCACTTGAAGAGCTTACTGTACCCTTACCCGGACTAGCCCAAAATGGCCAACACCTGAGTAAAAGAAAAGAGAAAATAGGTAAGTATTTATAAAAACACAAATGGCAATTGACTTATCATTTAAAAAAGAGCAATAATATTTAGTAAAGTGTGTTTCTCCTCAGAAGGAAAAACACCTTATTCTGTATATTCAGGTAACATGTTTTTGAAGTAGCAAACATTTCCTTTAGAAATAAGAAGAATAATATATGTATGATAAAATAAACTCTTATCTTTCCATTTATAAGATAAAATATTGTTTGAGAAATGTCACGAAAAAAAGTGAAAAGAAATTTGTAATTGTTGTTTATGTAAAATTTATGTAAGCAGTTCCTGTGACAAAAATACATTCGCTTATTTAAAAAGAGAGTGAAAAAAGAAAATGTCTTGAAGTAAAACATTGAATTTGTGAATATTGTTCATATGTTAAGAAACCCAAGCCAGCAGTGTTAAAGACTATGTGCAATGGTACATTAAGCCTCGGAAACATACATTTCTTCTTCTTTAGAAAGCGCTAACATGAATTTTATAATGTTTAAGTAATGGTTTTAGAGAATGTTACATGCTGTAAGCCGAAGAAAGAAGCGATAAATGTGAAATAATTTGTCACAAATAAGCAAAATGTAAACTAAGAAGTATTTAATTCCATACAAAATACTTGACTATAACTTTACTTATTGCCAAAAAAGAGCAATTAAAGAAAAAAGACGGTTAAGGTTATTGGTCTATGAGTAACTTTTTGGATACTTTAAAACAGCAAATTTAAAAAAGATCAATAAAAGCATTTCTAAGGCATAATTGGCCTTTAGGAAAATTCTTAAATTGATTTAAAGCTACTGGCCTCCGGATTGTAAAATAAAAAAGTAAAGTTTCAAATACACGGTAAAATTGATCTAGTTAGGTCTAATGCGAAGATACATTTTAATTGACATCTTAATTTAAGAAAGAAAGTTGACATAACAGTCAATATATCGTGTTTCTCCCTTGCATTATGTATTACGTTACTAAAGCATTACTAATTATAAATAGGAGAACATCTGACTTGTACGAGGGGACGAAGCCCCCGAATATTAATCAGATTGCCGAATGTTTTGATGTTCTTTCTCTTGTGTATTATAGTCAAACATAAAAACAAGTTCGTTTTGTCACAATTTTAAACCCGAAAAAAAGTAACCAATAAACGAGCATCTGAATATGATATTTCTATCGCTTTCCCTTTCTCTGCCATCACAATAAGTAAACCCCAGCAAAAATGAGCCAATCAAAAAGCATGCTCTTGAGTGCGGGTAACTAATACCTGCAATTTAATTAACACCCTGTGTATGTATATTTACGATTTAACTCTGTCACATTTTCAACAGCAAGGTCCCCAAACTATGATACAAGAGGTAATTAATTAATTATAATTTTAGTGCCATAATTAACTACAAATATCAAAAACAAGGCAGTGATTCGTTTTACTCTATGTTTGATACGATCCCGAATTCCGCACTGTCCGGGTCACATGTCGCGATTTTGCCCTGTACAATCACGTGGTTCTAAAAAAACGAATGAAAGAATTCCGTAGTAAATAACAGAAGGTATTTCGCGTTAGCGACTCATATCAGAACAAAAACAGGTTACAATATAAACATGTTTAAGCGTCATTTAGATTTTTTCAACTAGATAATGTTTTTAAGAGGGTTTTGAAATATTATTACATGTAAGACGGTAGTTTTGTTGTTGTTGTTTTTTGTTTTTGTTGTTGTTATCTTTTACAGGCCTGCTGCTTTAATGAAGAATAATTTACATCTTAATGGAAGAGACCAAAATATTTCGTTTTATCACTTCTGCGAGATGAAATTAAAAAAGATCGTTTCAAAATAAGTTACAATTTATCACACTGATTACAAGTTTAATAAGGTTGTTGTCATAAGTCTTAAACAATTCATTACAATTAAAGAAAGTGTAATATTTGCTTAAGATTAGGAATGCAAATAGCATGCATTTTCTTCCAAATGAGACTTAAACAAATGTTAAGTATTCAAACATTGACATCGACTCGCTTGTGTTTCTCGACCATAACTGAAAAGGGTTTATATTATGCCTTAAAAAGATGACAAATACTTTAAAAAGAAATAAATAAATAGATTTATAATAATAAAATTATTAAACAAACCCGAATGAACCGTCCACTGTGCAATTTATTGCTTTTAGATTGTTAGTCAATTTAATGCACTTTCCAACCATATAATTCTTCAAGTTGTTTTCGTAAGTCTCGTAAAATGGATTTTTCCATCCAGGGGCACACACCTGTAGGGTAATTATACTAAATTACATTGTGTAAAGAAAGAATGGATTCAACTGAATAGAAAGCCAACTGTTGATCATTCAAATTTCATTACTATAATAAGCTTTAATAACATTATATAGAGCATAATTACCATAGCCATTGGTATTGTGGCGTAATTTGAATTGTTCCCATTTTGAATGTAGTATTTGTTTACTGCCAAAGAAGAGCCGAGTCTGCTGTTCTGTTCACAAGCCGTACGAGTCTTGTCGTTTCTTCTTAATTTTTCTGAAATAAGATCTTGTTAATGCTAATCATTATTTGTTCGAAATAGCAAATGTTTCTAAAAAATGTTTAAAGAATTCCTAGATACAGTAACTGCTATATGTGTATTGAGTTTCGTTTAATTTCCATTAAAGTATGTTAGGCTACTAGTGAAATGAACACAAATTTAATTATGGATAAGAAGAGATCATATTGAAGGAGATATCTTTTTGTGAAAGAATGTAAGAGTCGGTTTTATCTGTCCTATATTCTTTGTAGAACAACTTGAAAACTGCGTGTGCAAGAGGGCGTGGACGGTGAGTTGAAATAAGCACTACCGTCCATGAAGAGCATCAATCAGACCGATCCTGCAACATTTTCAGTTTTGAATGAGAGATATTTTCTTTTCTATTTAAAGTCTGTTAAGTAGTGAAGATAGAATAAACAGCATCTTATCGCTTAGACATTCATTTGTTCTGGTCTTAGTTTACTGAACAGAGCAGCATGTTATTAACTTTTTTGCATGACATCATATTATATTTTTTCTGTAGATAATCCGTGTTCAGAAAGAAACGACCAATTTATTCAAGAAGTTAAATTAAAAGAGAACAGACCAATAGTTTCACGTATGAGATCATAAGGTTGGGGAGGGTAGACTATCCATGATTTATAAAGTTTACAGATAAAGAATGTGCCTTAAATGCTTAAACAAATACATACGTGTATAAAAGAAATTTGATATACACGTAGTATATAAATAGATGTGTTATGATGTTTTAGACGTTTTCAAGTTCATTCCGTAAGGGGAAAAGGCGAGATTTAAACAATTAATCATTCAAACGTCTTGTCAGGTATGTATCGGAATATGGTATTTAGTGTGGTGCTCCAGTCTTTTTCTTTAGTCTCACACTAGCTATTGTGGAATCTGAACCTTTTCTTGTGTCATGTTGAACTCGTATATTTTTTATAAGGAGCAATTTAAAACTCTGGTAAAAGGGATATCTCTATAAAGCAATGTCTACATTAAACAATATTGATGGCAGCTTTGGTAAATCAAATAAGAGATATGAAAAGTCTTACACCATTCATTTGTAGTGAAAAATATTTGTTCTAACTAAAAAGTAATTGTGAATTTACATTTACTTCACGCGATAATCAAAAGATGTCGTTAATTAAATGTTAACTTACCACACACGTCGGAAGCTCCGGATGTATCAACCAATTTACAAGTCTCATTTCTCTTTAGGGTAACTGTACACTCATGTAATAACCCATGTCCTCGAATACCTCGATATGTATCATTAGGGGCACCAACCAGAAACCTTAACAAAATCATATTCATTATAAATGACAAACATTTTCACCAGACATTGCACAACAAAATAACAATAAAACCTACATTTATGTTCAATTAAAAGCCAAGGCATTTTTTTCTCCATCACAACCTTGCATTTATACTTAAAGTTAAAGGAATTTTACCTATTTTATTTTCATCGTCAAACCACACTTCTGTTTTGAAAATTGAATTCTTCATTTATTTTTTTTAAATAAGAAGTATCGGGATTTATATATTTCAAAGAACCATGAGTACATATTTTATTTATTTATTAATTAATTAATTAATTTATTGATTTATTTAACAAAGGAATCACTTCAATGTTATAATGTCATTATTCCAGACGTACATCAAATGGTAAACAAATCTCGGACAGATACATTTTTTCCACGTCATCTCTACAAAAACCTCAAAGGAATGCCTTTTATTTGTAAAGAAGTTAGTTAGATACTATATTAACTTTTACCATGTATGACTTACACAAAATAAGAACACATAGCTTTACATTACAGCCTATTTTAAATAAGCGACAATAACCACTTTTTTGGATTCGTTACACGTACTTAAGTAATATGATAGGACTATTTTTGGTGGAAATACGGGGGGGGGGGGGGTTAAAAATAAAAGTAAATATTTGACTTACGTTTTGTTATTCTCGTCAGTCTTCCAACCAGGTGCCTGGACAATTGCCACAGTATATCCAAAATGTGAACCTGTTACGCCTTTTACAATTCCGGTTTTCTGTTCTTCAATATTATACGAGTCAAGTATCCTTATCAAATTTATCAGATTAATAAGAGCTGCTGAATAATCCATGATATAATGCATTCTTGTACAAATATGAATATATAATTAGTATAACAATTAAATCCAATGCAAGAAATAGATTAACATAATTATGTTGTTACTTCTTTTTTACATAAGGTAGTCTTTTTCCTCCAATTGTAATTGTCTTCGTTAATGACACACGTTATACAATTGCTTGAGTGGTTTAAGCACTTGATAAAAAAAATCGACACTTTATAAGTTTGCATTTAATGAGTTCACAATTGCGATGTGGTAATAAGTACTTACTTTTCTTGAAACTACGTGATTGTTTTTAACCTCTTTGAGGATAATTTAAGACTTTTTACTTATAAGAAATATAAGGAAAAGAATAAGTTTGAGTACCAAAACGACAAACCACTCAAGTGTTTGCTCAGTTTGTAAAATATTTACAATTGACCATCAGGCAATGGTGTAATATAATTTTGTTGCTTCATCCGTGTGTATATAGTATTATTTCTCTAAAAATGAATTTGAGACATACTGTTTTTGCCCTTAAAGCCCGTCTGTCTGTCTTTCTGTTTGACGAAACTCAACAGCAGAGATCGGATAGGAACCCTTTACGTGCATAATGACGGTAAGTTCTGTTTCGATGCACGATTTGGTCGCTAGAGCCGAACAAAAGAGAAACAGCTTTCAAACTAAAGTCGAGATTTCGACGACACTTCACAGAAGTGATAAGTACCGTGCCTAGTTATGCAAATCGCCGGAACGTGATGCTTTTAAGGTAGACCATCGGTAATGCATTACCTCCACTTTGAAGAGTATTCAAATAGTCTAGAATCGAAATGATCCCAAGAGCTAAAGAAACAAAGCCTTATCTGGCTTTCAAAGGTTAAACTGCGGGCAAAATTTCTACGGATTTTCACAGGTGTATTAAGTACCAACCATAGTTGTGCATATTGCGGGCACGCTCCGCTTCGTTGCACAGAATGGCCGTCAAATGCAAAATTAATAAACCTTGTCCGGCTTTAACAGGTCAAACTGCAGCAGGATTTCGACGAAACTTCTAAAATTGTTCATTTCGACGGCGTACTACCTGTCACTGTAAAAAATACTCCACAGCTAAAAGTATTAAAATCTGTTTTCGGCTTTCAATGTCAAACAGCTAAGTGAATTCCGACGAAACTTCACAACTGTGATCAGTACTAACTTTTGTTGAGCATATGCTAGCTGTACAGAATTGTCGCCAGAGCCAAAAATATGTAAACCTTGTCCGGCTATTAAAGGCAAAAATATAATATAATGGTAAAATATTGACAAAACTAGTTGATATCGCCAGCATTTTCCGCTTCACTACACAAAATGGTCCCGAAGCTTAAATAAGTAAAACCTTGTCCGGCTTTCACAGGTCAAAGGGCTGGCGGGATTTCAATAAAATGTAACAGATGTGATCAATACTAACCCATTTTATGCATATCGTCTGCAATTTCCGCTTGGCTGCACAAAAAGGACGCCGAGATCAAATTAAAAAGAAATGTATGTCCGGCATTCACAAGCTGTGTTACAAGTATCTTATATGCAGACACTAGAGCATATATTGATTGTTCAATATCATCTCCGTCTATATTTTGTATTCTGTGTTTTTTACGACAGTGAACACTTTTAACAACTTCAGAAACAATTATTCTCGGCGACATTATTGCAACAATGTCAGATAATGAGCTCGAATAAACCATGAATTAATTTAATAGACTTCCGCTTAAATGTCACTGACGCTGATTGGTCACATATGTAAGACATTTTCGTGTTATTTAATCTGAAACTGTGCCAATTTATTATAGCTATTCACATGCAATTTCATTTGAAACAATCGGATCAGAAACGTCACACATAGCCTCTATTGATAGCTGATAGATCAAATTCCATCTGTGTTTAATACATGTAGCTTAAACTCTTTATGATGTTCAACTACAGCTATCACTAGATAACTAAAATCTTAACTTTCCGTCTGTAATACATAAAGTATTTCTTCATTTCAACAACATTTTTCAGCTTCACCACTATTTCTACAATCTGATTAAACTAATGACTTTCACCATTCGCACTATAAAAAAGCCACTGTTCTAATCCTTAGAGTACATACGGAGAAGACAAAAATTTACTCAGTAAAGTTTATTGACTATCATACAGGTATAAATAAAAAAAGATTTGTAATTAAGGTGTAGAAAGAACGGCTTGCTGGGTGTTTGATGCCGTATTAAATCAAGCTATTATACAAATTACTTCAAAGATTAATCTACATTCCTATATATAGGAGTAGCATTCAATACAAAATAGTGTTGCATATATGACCACTTTCATTAAATAAAATCTTTAGGGAATAAATTGATTAGATTATCTTACCCGTAATCAGCTACTTTATTATATGAATTTATCCATTTAAATATATACATGTATTTATATCAATAAAAAAATCAACTTCAGTCTGTTGAATGGTACGATACTTGAGTTTATAGTATCCTAGCACACATACGATGGGGAAAAACATTGTTATCCATATGCAGATTCTTTAAACATTTGCTGCAATTTAATTCAAGAGATATATTAAATTAAATTGCAATAATTGTTTAAATGATCTTTATGTGGATAACAATGTATATATCAAGCATTATCAATTAAACAATAGTAATAAATTAACACAAACCAATAAGTTCAAAATAGTAATAGATAGAGGCCAATCAAGTCTTTTCTACTAATACAGGATTATTTTTTAATTGAGTGGTATGAAATATGATAATTTTCATACAACAAGGTGAAATAAAATCCTGTATCTAAATAAAAAAACTGTTCATTATATGATTATATTTTTTTTTTCTCGTTACATTATAGCTTAATTTTTGTGTATGGGCTGAATTTAGAAAAAAAGTAGTTCGGCAAGACATCGGTGAAAATACGGGAAAATATGTTTATCTATAGTGAAAAAGAATTACAGTGAAAATTCTAAAATTGAAAAACACGCATTTTATTTAATCAATATATTTAAAATTCATAAGTGTATAATTAAAAGTGTTCATTTGCTTTGCGCTTTATATGTATATTAGACGTTTGCCTTGTAGGTATTATTATATTTGCAGACATTTTCCTAAATTTGAAAAAAATGGCTTATCTTTGGTTGGTTATAGGTTAGTTTATAAATTGTAGAGATCTTATCGTTACGGTAATAAAATGTCAGCATCTTTAGACTTATCATAATAACCCTTGAAAAAGGAATGGAAATTAGTTAACATTCAAACCTTAGGTCACATAGTAATATTTTGGACAATTTTTAACAGCCACCGGGCATTATATATGAGTCATTCTGTTTTGTTGGCAAACCCAAAGTTTTTATAAAAATATTTTGAAGTGTTTGAAAAACTATAGTCTTTGACTATAGAACATTCGAAGTTAACAAATATTTCACAGTTGCGTAAACTATTTATTTTTCATTGTAAGTTTTTTTGGAAAAAGAAAGAAGCAAAACCACGTTCAAAAATTGAGGCGTTAAGTCTTTATAATTATAAAGGAATGAGAATATCATATACCGGCGACAAACAAGCTTAATGTTGAAAAGACATTTTGAAAAATGAAGATTAGGGTTAATTATATGATATAAAATGGCTGCAATTTGATTGATTCAAACAGGAGTCAACTGAACAAATTATAAAACCATATTCACCAGGTGTAGTATCTCATTCACTGACCGATTTTGATTCTCCCAATCTTAATTAGAATCAGCCTCATATTCAAAGACAATTAACTGCCCGTACGTAAATCATATTTACTGAGTGAGAGTATGATTAAGGCATGCGCAATTATGACTAGGTTTAGTATCATATTAATGGGCTAGACTTTACCTAAAATAGAATCAGACTCATATTCAATGACCATACAACATTGACTATTTGAAACTTTGCATTTTGTTCTTTATGAAATATTTTTCGATTTAAATCTGTTTACTCCACAATGATAGGTAAAAGTTACACCGCAATGATAAATGCATTTAAATTAGGTTTTACATTTTGTGTTTTTATTTCTTATCTTAGGCTAATCATATAATAACACAATTATTGAATAATGATTCATTGAATATGAGGTCACATCGTGTTTAATGGCTCACTAGACAATAATTATATAATGAAGTATTAAATATCTAAACATATTCGTCGAATTTATTAGGTTTATTATCAGTTCAGGCATATTTTACCACACTAAGGTTTTTCTCGAATGGAAAAGAGAGAATACCTGTTTGAATCTTTGACTTTGTTTAAGAAAAGTTGGTGAGGTTCATATTCAAACTTCAATTCCAGGAAACATTATGTGTAAGCTGTATATTTATATAAAATGGAACTATTTTAATACATAGTATATGTCATTTCATTTACATTTGTGACTTGCCATTCATTTTCGCACATTCTACTGTGATTAAAAGACCGAAGTAAGGTAAAAGTATATATTTCTCCTGATTAAAGAATAGAACTCTATTTTTATCATTACTTTTTTCTTGAATTCTCGAATAAATGGAGGAAAGCAAGCAGTATGGATATGTGCAATTTAAAAATTAAATGTATTAGTAAAAATTGTTTTAAACCTTCCCGATTTCCCCAAATTGCCGGTAACGACACATTCCAACCCCATCTACAACACACTTGATCGGCCTCGCCATCGGATTCCGAAAGAAAAAAAAAAATGTGTTTTATCTCTGTCATCCTAACTTTATGATTTTAATAGTTCTGATTTGTCTTTTAGTTGTCTTGTTTTTTTTTAATTAACTACACTTTTTAAATTTATAAAAATCAGTATCATTCATTCGTTGCCCTGTAGGTAGGGAACATAATTTCCGTACAAAATATGATGTTTTTTCGCTGTAACTTATATTTAAAACAATGAAAGAAATTGGAATTTTACCCAAATATTTTTTGGTTCTTAATTACGAAACATCCTTTTTGAAACATGAAATTAAACATTTGACCGTAGAAATGTATCTTTAAAGTAGGGCATTATAAGAGGCCACAAATCGTGTGGACAACTCAATTTACAGGACATTATGTCTCAAAAAATTTTGAAGTCGTTAATTGAAATTAATCTTCAAATAATCAGCAAGGAAACTACGACTATTGA